CGTTCACAAGGCATGACGTAAGTATAAATTACACAGTAATAACATGACGTAATCTTATATTGCACGGTGTACGTGTAATGCTACACAGAATGGTGACATCACACATGACAAGCGTACAAATTGTAACATTAAACTGAATCTGACTATATGAATCTAAATTCAAAAGATGTGTCTGTTTCAGGGCATTCAGTGTCTATTATGGCAGTTGTAAATCTCAAAATCTCTAATATTACTCCGTGTTTCATGGTAAACAAAATATATCATTTCTGAAAAAGTTGTTATTGTTATAAAATATGCACATATGCCAAGAAATGTATGAGTAGCATCTCTATGACGAGTGATACCATACTATTACATCGTGCCGGGTATGCACGTATCCCTAGTCGAAGAGAATCAGATTGTATTATTAACACTCTCGCTCGAACAAAATAATTTGTAGACTATGTTGAAATAGCTGCATGCAATTTTAGCGGATTTGACTCTTGGCATGAATTAACAAAATCTTAATTTTTAAGTGTCAACTAACTCAATGTGAGAATATACATATGTAAATTAGCTGCATCTTGAATTAGCGAAATGACAGATTAGATAAATTAGCTAAAATAACATGCTAGCTAAAAAGACATGTTTTACAGTATATATATTTTTTCTTCATTTCAGATGTTAGTCTGTTCAACAAACATTGATGACTTCAATATTACAACGCACAATAAAGTACCATAACTACCCAATTGGCACTGGTAAGTATTCAAATTTTGCATAACAATTAGAGTGGCATACGTCACGATAGATTAGCATATTGTGTTTAGTTTCGCAGTTTTGTAACGGTACTTCCCCTCCGAGATCTTTGATGCTGATTTGTTAATTTGCTGATTTGTTAATTTGCTGATTTGTTAATTGAATTGTTTCCATACTTTAAACTATAATCGCCGCCGAGATCTCACTGAGAGCAAGAGAGCAGCGAGACTTGAATTTGGCCTCGAATAACACACCGTTCTCTTCCGTCACCACGCTTCTTTGAAGATTAAAACTGACTCGAAGTCTCATGGCTCTCTCGCTGTCAACGAGATCTCGACAGCCATTTGCCTTTAATGTCTGTTGTTAGCTGATGGCCCC